ATTGTTTAAAAAATCTAATGCCAAAATTGTGGAAACTGTGCCAATGAGACCTGGTCTCCCCTATATTTATTAGATAACGTTTTCAAATTTACAATATTCATTTTTTGAACAATTTATATATATTTAGTTAGTTACAAAATCATTTCTAAATCGATTGAACTGATAAAGTATTTTTAATCCATTAAGCGCCAAAAATTAAAATTTGTATTATTGATAAATATTATGTCTATTTTATTGTTGAGAAATTGTATGAGTACTTTTTATAAAAAGAAATTATTTTTGACTTGTGAATCTAATTGTAAATAATCGAGAATGTACGGAAGTTACCCCATTTGACGTTAGTCAGGATTTTGAAATCTGAGGATGATTCGAGGATCTGATTAATGAGACTAATATTGTCATAAAGATCGGAGGCAGTCTCTTATATTGCGGTTTGCGTGAAGCCACGTAGTGTGTGTCTGTATTACTGTGCCGCTCATCCACTCGAATTACCCTCGTGCTACGAGAAATATGAGCATTCAGACACGCGCGCGTTTTTTCATAGAGAACGATCCGAAACGTCACAGTCGTCACGACGCACCCTCAAAATCTTCGTGCTTTGACTTGATATGCGTGAGATTGATAAATTTCGAACTCGGCTTGTGTGCGAGGGAAAAGGAAAACGTGAGGAAGAAAGGAAGAGAAAAAGCCATCGGAACTTTCTTCTTGTTGGCTGTATAATTTATTCCATTTTCTGTTTTATCTGCGACAAGCTCTTAAAATTCTTCTCCCTTAATGAATTCTTTCCATTCATGGATTAAGTACTAACTAATGCCGCAACGTGTCGATCGAGTTTAAAAAGCAATCATACGAATTGCGAAAGTTATGTATATATATTGAGGTTCCGAAAGAAACCGGTGAGACTCATTTCATAGAATTCAAACCTCTACCAGCAATTAACGTAAGGATCGTGAGCGACGAATGGCGGCGGATCTTCGATAAGAATTCTCCATCATAAGATCCGATTTACTGAATAGAATATTGCTACAGCCTTGCATTAACCCGTTCTCCAAACATTAGTTTAGATTGGAAGCAATTTAGTGTGGACAATAATTAGATCAAATTCCGGTTAAATAAAAGTATACATGCGTTTTAGAATTGGGATTTAGAATAAAACTATAATAATATTATAGAATTGCATCTTTTTTACTTAGCGCTAATTCACATAACGATTATTAAACGTTGACTTTCATATATCTTGTTTTTTATTTTAATTTCTTTTGTTTATTGAGAAGGATTCTAACAGTGGGTCGAACATGTATTATATTATATTGAATAAATTTTAGTTGCACGTGTTCATCCGGTGTCTGGCTCTTATTGGCAATTCTTCAGTCTTTTTTTTACTTAATTTGTATAAAACTATAGCTTACAAAGAAAATATATGCAATGGATTTAGCTAGGAAGGGATGCTGATAAAGCTATGGATAAAGCTAGATATTTTGATAACTAGGATTAGATATACTTTTCATAGCCTTGTTTAGGTTTACAAAATAATTTTTTGTATTGTCAAAAAAATTTCAATTAACCTTGTTATGATAAAAAAAATTTACTATAGCTTGATTTTATTTAAAAGTTAATACATTGACTTTGCGAAATTTTAAATTTTTTTAATGCATTGACTTAATAAGAGTGCGTAATCTATTATAATAAATTTAATATATATATATATAATTGAACAACCTATGTTCCTATAATAAACAATCTATGATTTATCTTATCTTTACATCTACAGATATTTTTTTCTTTTGGAAATTTCTTCTGCAAAAATTTAACATCTTATTCTTTAGGAATATTCTCTTAGGTCTATTCTCCGTATATAAAAACAAAGTAACATCTCAAATTTAGCATAAAATTATCGTAATTATTGTATAACGTCGCACTTTGATTCTGTCTGGAAATCTCCAATGTAATTTCCTAATTATGCCATCCTAATTGATCCATGAAGCAAATGCCTAATTAATTTATAATATCGTCATGCGACGCATATAGAAAACTTCGCCTTTTTATTCCGTGAACCATACGATAGTACTCAACTCCAATTAAAAACGCGATTCGATACCGATCGAGTGCAGGCCGTTGCAACGTTCTTCGTCGAGGCCATTGTTTGCATAGCGAGAGTCCTTGAAGCAGCCGAGAAAGCCGAGACAATCGTTCCTCGAAGGCGGCGGTCCTATTACGTGTAATTGGTTCATTAGCTTCCATAGTGAAGCTATATTCGGTCGTCGTTGTCTGGGGCGGCAAGAAGGGCGCCAAGGCGCTTGTTCTTCTTCCATCACATCATTCCTTCACCCCTATGATCAATATACATATAGTATATATGTATATATAAAATATATATACATACAGACATACACATATATATGATATCTAAATGCTAGAAGAATATCGGTTATTTTAATATCGCGATATCAATATTTTTTTAGAACACAAACAATAAAAAATTTATACAATTTTGATGACATCTATATATATATATAAATATATGCATGCATGTGTGATATCCAAATGTTAGATAATTTAGAGAAAAAAATGACAGATGTTTTTATTGTAATATCGGGGTATTAATTTTGGAACACAATTACTTAAAAATGTATGTAAAAGATGCGTTTTTTAAACGAAAATTTAATTTTACAAATGTATTATACACGATATTAATGTATTCTTTATTTAAATTTGAATCACACACATCTTATTTTATAAAACGAGGATAAGTATAATATACAATTTTAATTAAGCTTTATATACATATGCGAGAAACTCTCCACTTCAGATGAGATTTTTCCATTTCTCGAAAAAGTCAGAATTCAGGACTATATATTTCAACACATATATTTCTGTACTAATTTTTAATGTTAAGTATCTCCGTAATTAGGTCACTTGTGTCAAGTGTTCGCTGAGTAAAAATCGATCGTGCACATTTGTAGGAGAGAATCAACGTTTGAATTACTCTGTATGACGATATCGACATTTTATACATTTAGTTTTATTCGAAGTTGTTTCGCGAGGAAGGAAAAGATCGGCGAAAAAGTTTTTTAATATCGTTCTTTAGAAGTGTGCGAATCAAGCATTTGTGAGAACGAATCGAATTGGAATTTTTTTTATTCGAAAACGAATCGAGTTCGAATCAACTTTTCCCGGATTTACATTAAAAGTTATATAACTTAAAAGTAATAAAATATTTTCAATAACGATATAAATTTTTTAAATAAACGAGAAAATAGTCATTTTCAATTTACGAGAGTTATGCATAATAATGAAGCAAATAAAATAGGCGATTGATTCAAAATCGAACCAGTGATGATTCGAAATTTCGAACTTATTCGATTCGAATTCAAGCTATTCGCGCATATATACTGTCCTTGAAAATTTGTTTTTAATATTTTTAGCTAAGCATCACTTTTTGTCTCGACAGAAGTAGAAAATAAAAATCAGCATTTAGCGCTAAACGTGTAATGAAAATTTAAAAATATTGTTTAATAATCTTAATATATATACAAAATTATTAAAATTAAATGTTTTTAATACGAAATAAAATTTGACAATACGATTTTATAGGTATATTTAAAAAATATTCAACATAGATTCATGTCACATTTACTTATTTACTTTATTTTCATTTTCGTTACATTTATCGAAAATAACCTTTGATCGCATGATGTTATCTCAAGGCAATAAGACTTGTGGACGGCTCTTATTTCGATTTATCCGTATCTTCGTACAAGTCCCCCTCGTATTCATCAATCTTGAGACAAGGACAGTATTTTCCAGATTCAAGAGTAATTCCGAAGGATTTGGCTAATAGGTACAGATTTGCAATGTACACTACGATGATGAGATTAACTATGGCCACTCGTTTGAATCTCTGTCTAACGTTTTCACAATTATGCTCGCGGTAATAGAACGGAAATAATTCAGATCAGTTCCATTTTAAATTAATGCCGCACTGCCACTGTTGGATCGGTCGATGGATCATTTTCAATTATCTCGCGTCATATCTTCCGCCTACCACCGATTATTCTCGTGGCCAAAAAATTTTTACTTCTGTCATTCGCAAAAAGTTATAGTTATGTTCGCTTCATTTTTCTCTCTTCTCTCTCTTTCTCTCTCTCTCTCTCTCTCTCTCTCTCTCATCATAAAACATTATACTTAAATAGTTATTAAGGTATTAATAGATTATGAAGACCGTAAATTAAATTGTTTTAAATTGCATCTCGTAATGAGTGCGTAATGAGCACAGTAAATCGTCAAATAGAAATGGTATAAGACAAATTTTTTTTCTGTATACGTTATGACAAAGATTGAGTTATATGAAACAAGGTTCTGTATCATTCTTGTATAATTCTAAAACATAAAAAAAATATAATTAAACAAGAGCGCGAGCGTGGCATGGCAGACAGCGCACTGGTCTATCATGCCAGAGATCCCAGGTTCGATCTCAGTAGGAACCAAAATATTTACGCTCGTGTCTTCTCTCGGAAAAGGCCGGTAAGTATCCTTGTCCACAAGAACGCCTCTCGAAAAATCCGCTGTTTTGGAACCAGCATTAAAAAACTGTATAGGTCTCATATGCTCGTGGCAATTGAATAATTAGCATGCGCACCACAAGCATATGAAAGAGGTGTAACACAGACCAGAGACCTAACGTAAAAAGAAGAAGAAGATAATTAAAAAAAAGAAATTCTATATTCGATCAAAATAGATTTTAGTGCTTAAATATTTCTGTATAAATTTTTTGCAATAAATTATTTGCAAATTTATGATCCCTGTTAACGTTTTAAATTATTGGGTGGATCCATATATTCGTTCGGTTTTAGTAGTGCAAATTTTTTCCGAATATCTCCGGTTCTGGTTGCCTAATCGGGCAATCCAAATATGTTTTGGAAAGGTGACAGTCCGCTCTTTTCATCTGTCAAATTTGGTTTCATTGGCATTAGTTTTGTTTGTGCTACAGGCCTGTGAACATGTCGGAGAATAAGGTACATTTTCGGCACATTTTGCTTTATTATTTCAAGAAAGGCAAGCGAGCTGCGGAGGCCCACCGAAAGATATGCGGCGTATACGAGGACGATGCCTTAACAGAACGTGCCGCTCAGAAATGGTTTGCCAAATTTCGTTCCGGAGATACGAGTCTTGAAGATGGACCCCGCAGCGGTCGGCCCACCGAGGTTGATTCGAATGATATCAAGGCACTGGTTGAACAAGACTGGACGCTAAAGGTGCGAGAGATTGCGGAGACACTTAAAATAGGTTATGGAACCGTACAAAGGCATTTGCAACAGCTTACTCGTTTCCAATAAAATAATTTGATTAAGGCAATAAATATTTTTTTAAGTAATGGTTATCTACTGGAATTTGTCTTTTGTTCTATACAAAAAAGATTAAAATTCCATATTAATTTTGACAGTGGAACGATTGACAAAAAAATCAGGGAGAAATTTTTCACATTACCTTACGTGAATTCGGTATCTGAAAAGTTTACTCCAATTGCCAGTAAATTTCATTGTAAATTGGCTTTTTCTATACCAAATTCACTGAAGAATTTTATTAGAAAAGGCAAAGATCAGTTGGATCCTTTATGTAACCAAAACGTTATCTATAAGATCTCTTGTGATGATTGCGATGTTAGTTATGTAGGTCAACCGTCCAGAACTGGTCAATCGCAAAGGTCATATTCCACCATGACAACGCCAGACCCCACACCGCAATAATCACTCAGCAAAAATTAGTGCAACTTGGCTGGAATGTTTTGCCTCACCCACCGTATTCACCAGACCTTGCGCCATCCAACTACCACTTGTTTCGGTCCCTGCAAAACTCCCTCAACGGGAAATCGTTCGCTGATCAGACAGCTGTGAAAACGTACCTCGACCGGTTTTTTGCCTCTAAGCCCCAGACCTTCTATGAGAGCGGAATAATGAAATTGTTGGAAAGATGGCAAGAGGTCATCAACAAAAACGGAGAATATATCATTGATTAAAATTCATCCTTTGTATGAAAAAAACTTGTTTCATTTTAGCCTTCAAAAATCGAACGAATATATGGATCCATCCAATATTAATATGCTTATTAGCATCAAAAATTATTAAATTACTTGTCAATTTAATAAATGACATTACTATTTCGGTTCTGCCCATAATTGCATTTCAAGACCGAAAAATTCGATGCGTAGTTTGCAGACTCAGATATGTATATAAATTCACACAGAAATATTTAAACGTTAAAATCCACTTTGACCGAATATAGGATATCCTGTTTAATTAGATTTATTCTTATCAGTTCATCAATCATAATAAAAAGATATGATGAAACAATACTTTCATTATATTCGATATTCTTATATAATTTATTGTTATCTAATTTTTATTATTATACAGTATCTCAATGTAATAAAGTTTTGAAATCTAACTTAAAGTATATTTACACGAGATTATGTTGACAGTGATATTTTGTTATGCAATTATATAAGCATATACGTGTGTAAGTATTTAAGTATATACATATGTATGCAAGTTGTAAAAAAAAACAATTCAGCAATAATATACCTCTGTGAAGTTGGCACCTCATTTTTCAAAAAATGAAATTTTGATCACAGTTTCGAATGCACCCGGAAGAGTTCTGGAGTTCCTGTTCAAAATTAAGAATAGTTTCGGCGAATTAACATAAAAAAAATTTAAAATTTGGGAGGCTAAATTCACAAAACGCAGAACAAAAATCGCGATAACTTTTAAACCATTAATCCTAGCGCTTTAAATGATAATAACTTTTGATAGAACACTTGGGGTGCTATCCAGAACTGTCAACAGTACTGCCATAATGTTAAAAAATGTTTTGACCCACAAATGTGAGAATCAGACATTCAAAAAATCGCGATACCTCTTAAACCGTTAGTCCCAGCGCTCCGAGCGCGGATAACTTTCGTTAGAACTCGTGGGGTCCTACTCAGAACTGTCGACAGAATTGCCAGAACTATTAAAAAATTTTTATCCCACCGGTGTTAGAAATTTTTGATTCGACAAACGAAAATCGCGATCAACGCTCGGAGCGTTAGGACTAACGATTTAAGAGACATCGCGATTTTTCGTTTGTCGAATCGAAAATTTCTAACACACGAGGGGTGAACATTTTTTAAAAGTTCTGGCAATTCTGTCGACAGTTCTGGGTAGCACCCCACGAGTTCTAACGAAAGTTATCAACGCTAGGAGCGCTAGGACCAATGATTTAAGAGAAATCGCGATTTTTCGTTTGCCAAATCGAAAATTTCTAACACTCGGGGTGTGAAAGTTTTATAAAAGTTCTGGCAATTCTGTCGACAATTCTCGATAGAACCCCATGAGTTCTAATGAAAGTTATTATCGCTCGGAGCGCTAGGACTAACGGTTTAAAAGATAGCGCGATTTTTCTTTTGTTGAATCGAGAATTTCTAACATTCGAGGGTTGAAAATTTGTTAAGAGTACTGGCAATTCTATCGACAGTTCTGGCTAGTACCTCACCAGTTCTAACGAAAGTTATTAACGCTCGGAGCGCTAGGACCAACGGTTTAAGGGATATCGTGATTTTTTGTTCATCACATCGAAAAATTACTGACACCCGAGGGGTGACAATTTTGTAAAAGTTCTGGCAATTCTGTCGACATTTCTGTGTAGAACCCCATGAGTTCTAATGAAAGTTATCGACTCTCGGAGCGTTAGGACCAACGGTTTAATAAGAGATATCGCCATTTTTCGTTTGTCACATGGAAATTTTCTGACACCCGAATGATTCACATTTTTTAAAATTTCTGGCAATTCTGTCGTTAGGACCAATTCCGGGTAGGACCCAACTGGTTCTAACGAAAGTTATTAGTGCTTTTAGCGTTAAGACCAATGGTTTAAGGGATATCGCGATTTTTCGTTTTCACATCGAAAAATTTCTATCACCCGGAGAGATTTCGTAATTTTTTGAATGTATTCTTTTACATCTGAGGGTCATAAAATTTTTTAATATTACGGCAGTTTTGTTGACAGTTCTGGATAGCACCCTAAGACTTCTATCAAAAGTTATTATCATTTAAAGCGCTAAGGTTAATGGTTTAGAAGGTATCGCGATTTTTCTTTCTGCGTTTTGTGAAGTTAGCACCCCAAATTTTTAATTTTTTTTTTTTATATTAATTCGCAGGAGCTATTTTTAATTTTGGACCGGAACTCCAGAACTCTTCGGGGTGCATTCGGAATTGTGACTAAAATTTCATTTTTTGAAGAATAAGGTGGCATCTTCACAGAGGTCATTTATTGTAGATTGTACACATTATACTGAATAAAAAAACCTTAGTGAATGTGGATCGAAGGCCCAATTATTTCTGAGATATAAACATTTTTGTATGTAAGCATCATGAATGACTTGCTATATTTACCGAAGGTGTTTCACATATCCTCGTTTCCATACATGCTTGGTATCTTCTTCTTATGGTCTTACAGAGTTCTTCTTGCAGAACGCAGTATATAAACACTGAATATACATCGCTTGCGACACGTAGAAGCCACTAAGTCATTCATAATGCTAACATACAAAAACGTTAATTTATGTCTTAGAAACGGTTGAGCTTTCGTCCTATGTTGAATAAGGTTCTTTTACTCGGTATAATGTGTACTATCTATTATATAAATGCTGAATGTTTTTTTAACACTATGTATGTAAGTGTATAATTATATAAACTTGAAGATTAATTTTTTAGATATTTTATATTTTTAGCATAAAATAATTTAGTCTTTTAAATTACTAGAGGTCTTTTATAATAGATATTTTAGTTTCAACTTTTGCTGAAAAATGCATTTTTGTTTAAGGATATTGCTATATTGTTTTCTATATATTGTACCAAGCAATGTTTATTTTAGTTATGAATAATGTTGTGTTTAATAAATATAGTTATTAAGTGGATGATAATAGGCGAGATATTAATTATCGACGATAGTATATTTTAAGATAATGAAAAACGAAATGCACATACGTTGTTAATATTAGTCACGCCATATATAAATACGAATTATTAAACACGACTTTTCTAGACACGCAACTTGTTGCTTGTTGGAGCAAGAATGTGTCCTAAATTTTTTTACTTGTTAATTAATTAAAATCCATTAATTGAGTTAAACGTGTGTGGATATTTCGCCAGTTTTTTCACACCTTGTAACGAAAAGTAAGCGACGGAATGGTTTACTATGCGAAAGAATATACGAGTATGCCTTACACGAGCCGCCGGTTTACTGTTATTGGCTTTCGTCGCTGCAAGTTTTATTGCGGCTTCATGAAAAATACATTTGGCTCTGTTGCATCCAACGTACGTAAAATGTACTGACATCGGCAGACGGTTTCAATCGAGAGGATACTCAAGCTTCTTCATTTGGAAAGAAACGACACTTGGCCGTTTGTTTTTTTTTTCTTTATACGTGAGAGTCTTACATCTTTTGGAATTAAAACTACTATAAATATTAAGCGTCAATTCCTTGTATACAGAATGGAAAAATGGAAATTGCGGACACGTTAAATTAACAATTTGTAAAGTATTTTTAAATAGATTCTTTTTATTTATTTGCTCATTTTATTATTATTAACTTGTTATGTTTATATGTATTATTATAATCTTATTTAAATTACAAATATATTCTTATACGTATATCTTACTATTTCGGCAACACGTTTCAAAGTGGAACAAATTAAGTTAATTGTGCAAGTTATTATCTATCTTGATTTACAAATTTATTTTAATGCATGTAAAAAACTGTGTATCTTTTCAAAATCAGAGGAAAAGAGAGAGAGAGAGAGAGAGAGAGAGAGAGAGAGAGAGAGAGCTGCATAAACTACATACAATGGAATTGCAACTATAGTATCGTGACGGAGCAACAAGTCTTCTCATTAATAAGTAGCTATACCGACCCACCACAGACATACAGTTGAACGTACAGAAGTTGGTCATGTCGCTTGACTGTTAGAATAGCGGTCAACAGCAGGACAGAATGGTCAACAGCGAAGGATGGACGTGCCGAGAGAACTGTAGCTGAAAGCTGAAGTCAGAGTAGATATACATAGCAAAAATCACGAGAACTTGGTACTATGAACTGTGGATAATAGGCAAATGTACAATCGAGAAATTAATTTTATTGGTGCAAGTGAAGTGAGTTTGCAAAAAAATTTGGCTGCGAATGTAATTGAGTATTTTTTATATACAATAATTCGACAATAAAATAACTTAAAAAATTACATCATTGGTGTATAATTTTTTAGATCATTTTATTATATTTATTCAAGAATTTTTTTAATCTA